CGCCTCAAGACGCTCGTTCTATACAACGAAATAAGAATTCATGTGTGCCGAAAGAATACGTTAGTATAGCCAGTAGTGTGCAACAGTGCGGCTTACACCTGTCGGGTTTATGCAGCATGACCTTGCAATGCAGCAGCAATCTATACGTTCGTCTTTGTGTCATCATTCATCAGGCCTACAAAATATCATGTTAACTCTGGCCACACGCATGATGACTTACAATATCTCGACAAATATGCACATACCATATGGATACATACACACATACATGCACTAACTCGCTCACTCATATACATATACACACACACACACACTGCGTAGAGACACACACCTTGGAAAAGTGTATTGGCCATTACCTTGTGCTTGCCTGCACCAAGCAACATAACCTCACAATGCTCTGTGATAATATGCAGTTTGGTGTCCTTTGCGTTGTCACACCATTTGTATAGCGCACCAATAGCCGCATAGGTGTGGTCGAAACGACCGTCCAACCCACCGAGAATGTAGATACTATCGAACTGGATAGAGAGGTGAATTGGCGTGCCGTACGTCAGTTTCGACGACGTAGTAATTTGCGACCATTGCAATGAGTAGTTTGCGACAAAAAACGGTGTATACGCAATGTATAAACAGCCATATACGTACGACTAAGGTGACTTTTCATCCCAACTAGAATATATATCGAAATGTATTTAATACAATTGTGTCGATGTAGTAGGCGATTTGTCAAAAATTGTCGATACTCTACGGGAAGAGGGTGATAACTTTCAACAAACCGTTTTTAGATATATATACCCTTGCAGCTGACTACTTCACGCGTGCATTCGATTATATTGGTGAATTCGAACAGTAATGAAATGCGGAACTGTCTTGCGATACCAAGCTTACGACGAGGAAATAAGATTGCGACGAGGGTAGTAGTTTGAGAAATGTGAGAAGCAGTTTCTGGCGCCTCTATAGCGCGGCAAGCAGCAAAATTACAATTAGGATCACGGACACGCTCATACGATGAAGATATGTCTGTATACGAGATCGTGCATTTATTCGGCATATTCATACACGTACAAGCATATAATAATTTCAAAAGTAAATATATACGTTACCTTTCTATCACAGTCCTTCAGGACATAGCTGAGTGACTTGTTGAGATCATGCTCATCCTGATCGAGCATCGGAATCACGTCTGTACCCTAATGAAAACAAGAAATTGTATTGAAGCGATAATCACTTACGTGTATAGTACGCTACGAATGTTCCTAAATGCAGTCATATTCCATCAGCGTAAATAATTTCATTCACACAGGAATGAACACACATTTGTGAACACTGTTCTCCAATCAGCTCCAGAACATTTTGGCGTTCTAAAGTGTTTAGGTCGAGAGTGTTGTACTCCTGATATAAGATTAGTCACACTGAGAAAGTATACAGAATGCTTGTACGCATATACATCATAAAACATAATATGTGGATACATAATATATATATATATATATATATAAATAAACTGTGGAACTATATATATAAATATATATTTATATATGAATAAATATATATA